ATATATATATATATAGTAAAAGTAAAATATTAAAAAACATAGGAGAAATGACCAAAATTATAAGAAATTTAATTTGTTTGTTAAACGACTAGTCATAGATCAAATCATTCTCTAACTTTATTTAAATATCTTAGAGTTATAAATATTCTAATAACTTTAGAAAAAAAATTATATGATTTCATGTTGTACGAATTATATCATAATATCTTACTATAAAAATGAATCTGGTGCAGAAGTAATAAATGTGTGGCCATTTATGTGCTCGAGCATGTGCCCACGTAGTGCAGTGAGGAATAATTGTTGTACCCTAGGACTCATGTGATGTGGGGGCTGGTCCACTTTAAAGGACCGGCCGACCAACTTGTTGCAAGATACCCTATGTTTGTGGGCCCACCATCATGCCATCACATTCATCGAGATTTGTACAAAATAATAATTAATTTTAATACATTAATTACTTAATTAGTTTGTTATAATTGTAATTAAATTAGCTCTTCATGCCTTAAAAATTTGCAATGCATAGTTGACTTTTTTATGTATTAAATAAAATAGTAGCATTTACATACCTGAGATATCATCTAATTCCTATGAATTAACATGCCTAACATCTAATATTTAGTTTTTACATTTATACCACCGAAACTTCATTCAATTAATGGTCTCTTTGGGGCAACTGTAGCTTATTGAATAATCTGCTGATAAGTTAGGTGCGGTGGCTATTACAAATTTTTATTTTTTTTGAAAAAGCCAGACCGTTGTCAATAAGCTCCCACCGTACCTAACCTAGATAGGTGCGGTGTGTTAACATGCCTAACATCTAATATTTAGTTTTTACATTTATACCACCAAAACTTCATTCAATTATTAAGTTAAATATTGTTTTCAAAATGCCACCGCACCAAATAAGCTGCCCTTGCCCTAAATTAAATAATTTATTAATATTTTATTTTATTTCTTAAGTATTAGGGGGAAAAAAAAGATTTATTGAGGAATTGGGGGGTGGGAAAAAAATATAAATCCTCAAACATATAAAGAACAATATAAAATTTAATTGGGGTTTACATACATATCACCAAATTACTATGTATTTACATACATACCACCTAAACTTTACTTTCTTACATTTATGCCCCCAAAACCATTTATATCACATAAACATACCAACATTTTAACTTCTAATAATGTGAAATACACCATTTTATGCATCATGTAAGGTGGCATGTACATAAAAATTGAAGTTTAGGGTGGTAGATATGTAAATACATAGGAATTAATTTGGTATGTAAATCTTCCAAAATCAATACAATGAAATGCTTGGATATACATACATGACAAACAATAACCCCACTAAATGAAATTAATATTTTACACTGAAAATAATATTATTACAAAACAAATCAATTTGGCCATTTATATAATTTAACACATTACAAATTGACTTCAGACCAAAAAAAAAAACTCATCTTGAATGGCATAATCCATCCAAAAACCCTAATTACAAACAGAACCCCAAAATCCACAAGTTTCTGAAATCAAAATCACTGTTCCTTCATTATTGATTCATATTCAGCAGAAATCTAAGAATTTAGATTAAATTAGTATCATGATTAAGTTTGCTTAATCAACAAATTAACAGCACAGAGGTTTTGAGTGAAGTAAAAGCAATATGTAGGAACTAACCTTGGTGTGGTCATAAGTAAACTGTACATAATCTGGTATAGCTGATAACTGCTGTTGCAGCATCATCATGATTCTCATTAGGGCAACATAAATGTGAATCTTGATGATGCCACAGCTGCAATAACCAACTGTTTTCTGCTCAACTTGGCTCAGCTTATGAAGAATAAACTAGAGAGAGAGAGAGAGAGAGAGAGAGAGAGAGAGAGAAAGCTTGGAAGGTGGAATGGGAGGAGTAGGGAGATAGAGATAGAAAGAGAAAGGGTTGGAGGTGGTGTTTACACTGAGATTTCGGGGCTTCAATATGGTGTTTGCGTGCAGGAAGTAGAAAACCAGGAAGGGAGCTGGTTTTATAGAGGCCTGGTTTTGTGAGGCTTTTCAATTGTTTTTATTTTAAAAAAGAAAATGTTAGGGGACGTGTATTAATGGAGGAATTATATGGTGAGGATTGCGTGCGTAAATTTTCGTGCGAATGTTTGGGTTTGATTGTGAGAGCGGAATGATATTAATTGTTGTGATCTGTTTTGTATTTTTTTCGAGCAAGATTTACATAAATATCCTTCAATTCGTATTATACGATCGAATTTAATTTTTACATATATACCCACCCTTTATTTTATAGTTGAAATTGTAGTGTTTTTGATGTGATATGAGAGATTTGGGTGGTGTAAATATAAAAAAAATAGAATTTGGGTGTTCGATTTGTGAATCATAGGAATTGGGTGGTATGTATGTGTGGTAGAATCTGCTGCCAAGAGAACGACAGGACATCGAATTGGGAAAAAGAAAACCATAAAGAAAATGTAAATAAGAACATTGATAACTGACGTGGTTCGGTCCATAAGACCTACGTTCACTCGAGGGAATCAGGAAACAATTCACTAAGACAATCTTGAAGATTAAACTTACAACTTCAGATGATATGAGAGATTTGGGTGGTGTAAATATAAAAAATAGAATTTGGGTGTTCGATCTGTGAATCATAGGAATTGGGTGGTATGTATGAGTAGTAGAATCTACCGCCAAGAGAACCGCATGACATCGAAACGGGGAAAAAGAAAATCGCAAAGAAAATGCAAACAAGAACACCGATAACTGACGTGGTTTTGTCCATAAGACCTACATCCACTCGAGGGAATCAAGAAATAATTCACTAAGACAATCTTGAAGATTACACCCACAACTTCAGATAAGACAATCTTGAAGATTAAACTTACAACTTCAGAGATGAACCAATCTCCTCTAGCTCTCTATCGATCTTGATCTCAATATAAGCTTTTTTGGTTCTTCACCTTGCTCTCAGAATTTTTCTCTCCCTTAACCCTTTCACCTTGCTCTCAGAAATAATCCACTTATTGCTTGATTCAGACTCAGTAATTATCAAAACATCAACTTAATCGTAGTCATCAGAGGCTACACTTGTTTCTCCTGATTCTTTTGGCTTTTTTTGATATTTTTTCTTCATGTTAGGATATTTCTTCTTGAAGTGAACTTCCTTGTGACAATGGTAACATTTGAAATGTCCCTATGATAACTGATTTTTGCTCTTCTTTCCTTGTCTCGATCTTGATCTGTTCAGACCGTTTCTTAAATCTTTATTATCTGGACTTTCTCTAACGATCAGACCATCTCCGCTGATTTCCTCATTCATGTCAAGTTTCTTTTAAAGTTCTCTGGCTCTAATCAGCGATTGATGCTCTTCTAGTGAAATTGTTTGCACCCTTTCATAGAGCATTGCATCTTTGAAGTGCTCATAACTCTTGAGAATAGAGTTTAACAATAACAGTGCATTATCCTCGTTATCCATCTTGACGTCAATATTTTCAGGATCATCTATGATCTTGTTAAACTCATCAATCTGCTCTGAGACAAATTTATCTTCGTGCATCTTGAAAGAGTACAGACATTGCTTCAAGAAGAAACTATTGACCAAGGATTTCGTCATATAGAGCAGTTCGAGTTTAGCCCAGAGCGCCTGAGTCGTCGTCTCTCTCGACACTTCCCTTAGAGCTTTGTCATCTAAGCTCAAGATTATCACACTATGTGCTCTATCCAAGATGCTGTTCTTTTCTCTCTCGGGCATCTCGGCCTACAATGCCCCAAGCCCTGCAATGCTTTCGCGACTCCTTGTTGCACCAACAGGGCTCTCATCTTGACTCTCCATATGTCGAAATCATTCTTTCAGGTGAATTTCTCGATGTCAAACTTAGCAGATCCCTTTTTCATGGCTAGAATTTACACAGACGACGTCCATTGTAGCATAATATGCTACCATGAGAACCGTGAGACAGCAAAATGAAAAAAAAATGAAAAAAAGAAAACCCAAAGAAAAATGCAAACAAGAACACCAAGAACTTACGTGGTTCGGTCCATAAGACCTACATCTACGGGAGGGAATCAAGAAACAATTCACTTAGACAATCTTGAAGATTACACCGCACAACTTCAAAGACGAACCAATCTGCTCAAGCTCTCTATCAATCTTGATATCGATACAAGCTTTATTGGTTCCTCTCCTTGCTCTCAGAATTTCTCTCCCTCTTAACCCTCTCAACTCATATACATCATTAAATATATATAGACAATATTCTTATACAAGATGACCTGTTAAACACTAGTCATAGCTAAATGACCGTTCTCTCCTTTAGCTATTTAAACCTCTTTATAAACTGTGGTTTTGTCTTAATTCACATAATTGGGAGTCACCATAACAGCATGTAATTATCCATCTAATCAAATGGACCACAGGTGATTGCATAGTTGTACACTTCCAGCTTTGGATGTAATTTGCAAGTTGAAATTTACCGTAACACCACACAATTCTTATATATTTGCATATCTTTTTTGCACATAAAATTTAAGGAGGATTTACATAAAATGCAACCGATCAATTTTTATGAATTTACATATCTAACACCTAGACTTTACTTTAATTGTGCATGAAAAGATATATTTAACTAATTTTAAATGTTAAAATTGTGATATTTTTAATTTGACATGAAAGATTTGGGTGATCGAAATATTAAGATCAAAATTTTGGTGTTAGAAATGCAAATAAATACATGTGAATTGAGATTTTGGTATGTAAATACTCTAAATTTTAATATTTATTTTTATAACACTTTGGTTTTTGGATCTATGTATGAAGATATGTATTATACTTTTAACAAATTAGTAAGAATGATGTTTTTGATGTGTCAAAGCTCCAAGCGGTATGCATGTATATATAAAACTTTAGGTATAAAAGAGTAAATATATAAGATTTGTGAGGTGTATGCACTAGGGCTGTCAAAATAGCTCATTGCACGCGAACAATTCGTGTCACTACAGGAATTAAGCATATTTTGTATTGGATAGATCAGACGCAAATCAGACACATATTTGACGATATTTAAAGGTTAGCGTCGGATTTGCGTCTGATTTTCGCCCTGATTTTTCCAACATTAAATTGGGTGGTCGGTAATTTTATTTCAGTCTAATTTACGTCAAAATATTTCGACACAAATAATTTGGATGAGTTTTTGCGTCTTTTTAGCTTCAGATTTGTGTCGGTTTTTGCAAATTGTATGATGTAATGATTACTGGTCAGCATGAGTACGAGGTTTCAACGTGATTGTACGGGGTGAAACCACCTGCATATAACCCAAGTCTAACATTGTATACTTCAGCTGCAAAATCCATATAAGTACGATCATAATGTCTCCATACATCTACATGTAACAGATGACTCATTAAGTTTGCATCAACAGATCCAGTACAGTGTCAAATCATGTGTGGGGCTGTACGCATGGAAGCGAACAATCTCTAAAGCTGGAGTACGAGCGAAACATAAAAGAGACGCTTGTATGGAGTATTTTTCTAATTGTTATTATTTCTCTCTATTTGCTTGAATCTATTATCACCACAAAATCGGCAAGTCATCCCGACTGCATCGGTCTTATAATGTATCATGCATCCATTAACACAGCAATCAATCTTCTAACATTGTAACCCACACTTTGATACCAACTTTTTCATTTTGTACAAGTCATCCAACACTAAATTTCATGCAATGTTAATTTCTTTCAATAAAGTTGTTACTTAATTGAATGTTTTTTTGTGCATGTTAAAATCAGATTTGATCATCAATATTCTCAGTTTCACAGATAACTTTGTATGTGCAATGCTGTCATCCCATAAAGGTTGTTGTGAAGTTTTAAATAAGTCATAGAATTGTTGTGATTTATTATTCGACGTTTCAAGTTTGTGTTGAACACTCCCAATAAATTGTGCTCTCTGAGCATCGTGAACTATTTCTTCATGTTTGTCAGGATCAAATTCCTCTGTAGGGAGCATAACTTATCAAGGCACCTCCTTAATCGAACTGAACTTTAGGTTCTTGCTCACAAATTAGGTTTGAATCCCTTACGGTAAAGATCAAACTTAACTTCTTCAGGTGGCAAAAGTGTTTGATTTTTGTGCTTCACACAAGGACACCAAAATTTACCCTCAGAACGATAGATGGGCAACTGTGATGCCACTAGCACAAATTCCTTGATGTCATTCAAGAACTCATCTGTGAGACTCATCTGTGAGTCCTTTTCATTCATCTTGGATATAATATGTTATACATCCAAGCTCTCAAATTACGAATATCTATCTGTAGTTTATATGTAGTTTTACATATTAGTACAACTACTACGGAAAATAAAAATGAAAGACTTAGGCGACATAAATATGAAATTTTAAGTTAGGTTTATGAAAATTTAAGTGGGGTTGGCTAAATGAATCCTTTATTCTCCATTGTGTCCTATTGAGTGGCGTACTTTCATTATTCTACTATATTAAGATCATTTTCATGCAACATACACAAGTATTTTTAGGATTACTTTTATCTTTCTTAAAATAAGTCAAATCTAAAACATCTACTCTATTAGTTGGGTCATCAGCTAGTCAACATTTGATGTGACCAAATCATCTAAGGTGATGCACTCTAATCTTGTACGCCATTGGAACTACTTTAACTATTTCACGGATATATTTGTTTCAAATTTTACGTCTAAGTATAAAGCCACTCTTCCACCTTAATATAAGTGTAAATTAACTTACTTTTATACTTCTTTTATAAGCTAACATTATGCACCATAAAGCATTGCAGGCCTCACCGCCGTCTTATCGAATTTATGTTCAAGTCTAAGTGGTACTTTTCAATCACACAATAGGTTTTATGCGTTCCTTCACTTCAATCATCCAACTTGAATTTTACTAATAACATCCCATCTATATCACCATCATTTTCAACATTGGACACGACATATCTAAAGTGTTCATTTCCATCTATTGCTATAACCCCGTCACTAGATCCACTGCTACTAAAATTGCATTTAATGTATTT